ACTACTACTACTACTACGACTACGACTACTACTACTACTACTACTACTACTACTACTACTACTACTACGACTACTACTACGACTACTACTACTACTACTACTACTACTACTACTACTACTACTACTACTACTACTACGACTACTACTACTAGTACTACCACTAGCAATGCCAAGAGAATGTCGGGAGGGCAGGCCCCGGCAGGGTCGTTCCTCATCGTTTTCGATACAAGGTTTCTTGAAAATGGAAGCGGTACAAAACGGCGAACGAAACGATCAAAAAACAACTCTGGGATTGGCACCCGGAACCGGAACCGGAGAAGAACAGCAAAACGGAACCCACAACAAAAACAGCGACACGGAACCAGCAAGGAAACGGCAAATGGGAACGGGTAAGAAAAAACGGCCCTGTCATTTCCAGGGCCCACCACGGCATGTTCGCGTCGTGTCGACCCTGGCGTTGGTTCCTGACACCGCGGGGATCGCTCAAGCTTGAACGATCGGCCCTTTCAAAGAGGCCGGACCGTTCAAGGACGGGCCGACTCTGGGCCCCAGGCGGCGTTCAACCTTCAACGCCCGCGCTGGGGTCGCCGCCGGTCGACACGACGCGAACCTGCCGTGCGTAAGGGCAGGCCCCAGCGCGCGCTGGCCGCTGCCCGCTGCCCTCCGTGCACCCCGCGGGGCGACCGAGAGGCCGTGCGGCGCGGCCGGCGGAGCGCCCGAGGCCTCCCTTCCCCCCAGGAGGGGGAGGAGGAGGAGGAGGAGGAGGAGGAGGAGGAAGGAGGAGGGAGGGAGGGGGGAGAGGAGGAGGGGGAGGAGGAGGAGGAGGAGGAGGAGGAGGAGGAGGAGTGAGAGGAGGAGGAGGAGGAGGACGCCTCGGATGACCTGTCATGCAACCAACTACGGGAGCATGGGCCAATCATGTGGGCCCAGCTCGTTTACCGTGGATTCCCAAGGGAAAAGTGACGGAAAACAGAGCGGGCCAAGGAAACACATCAAAACAGTTTGATCGGCTGGCCATTCTTGGGGTTCTTACCCGCCTTGATGGCCTCAATAGCATGCCTCTGCTTATACAGTGTGGGGGGGTGCTGAGAAGGGCCCAGACAGCAGCCTCCAAGCTTCGAGTGCCCCGCACGCCCAGCATTAAGCTGGTACGACCCACACAATGTGCAAACCATTGCACCAAGATTCGAGAGAATTCGGTGGCCATCTAACTCTACAATGTCGTCTGCACACGGCTGCTGAGCCCCCGAAGGACCAGGAGCGATAGGGTCTTCGGGTGGGCTGAGATCCTGCGCTAGACCTAGCGCAACGTTGACCGCCTCACTCCTGTAAGGCAATGCACGCTGCAATACAACATCATTGCGAGCCTGGAGCTTTTGTTGCTCCGTGGGCTCACACTTAGCATAATTACTGGTACCCGCAACGAGTTTCAACAAACTGGCTGGGGTCCGAGCCGTGGCCAAACATGTCTTGCACTGCCAGACGCCAGGACTGCGGATGACCACCTCATGCACACGCAATCCTACATGCTGTACAGGGATCGGGGGGCCACCTAACTTGAGCCTCTCGGGTCTACTGCTGGTGGAGCCCCTGGTGATGAGCTTAGCAGCCGCCCAGGAGAAGAACTTAGCATTCAACTTCTCTTGGCTCAGCCTGGCCTCGAACATTTGGACCGTCGATTTGTGCACAGCGTGCATGTTGGCCCCCTCCCTTGCGAAAAAAACCGCCAACATGTTCCCGAGCAGAAATTCAAACGGGAGGGTGCCGAAGTGTACCTCCAGGTAACTCTCGATCGTGATGTGCGCAGGCGTCCAGCAAGCTCTGGGCCGACGCTTGTCGTCAGCTGCATGAAAGATGTGCCTCCAGATGTCTGCGTATGTCGAATTCGCATCTTCCTGGTCGTGGTGCCAGGAGTTCACTTCAGCTGCCAGGCTCTGGAGATCTGTCACCAGTAGGTCCACAGCAGGTAAAAGCCTGAGTGCCATGAGGAAAGCCATTCGCTCCGATCTCCCGACCGTTTGTATCGGACCCTCGAGGGGCCCATATGCAGCACGAACAGGCAGCCCGTTGTCCCCCATGACGACGAAAGACCACCCACATCGACGAATCTCAGGCCACGCAGGGGCCAGCCCCGAACCATCAGAGAAAACCAAAGAGCTCCAGGAACTTCTGTCAGACTCCCAGTCACCCCAGCAGACGCACTGCAACTTGAACTCCACATACGGTGGGATGAGAGGGCTCACTGGTATGCCTACAGCCGTGGCAAGACAATCCCAGTCGGGCTCTCCAAGGGCCTTCTGTCCGAGCTCTCTTAACATATCATAGAGTACCGCATATCAGTGTTCCAGTCGAGAACGGGCTCCTCAGGCAGGTCATCGTAAAAACTAGGACAGCAAAAGAACTCGCGTCCAATGGTCGATTGCTCCGCTGCGCAGTAGATGCAGGCAAGGGAGATCTGGTACCCTTTGGCAGCCAGTCTGGAACGTGACCAAATAGAGTCGGACCACAGTGCACGAAGCGCGCCTGCAAAACGTGGGTGCCTGACCACTGCCTTCTTAGCACCAATACATCTCCTCATAGCTCTCATCCATACGACCTCATCCCCATAGCATACCTCCTTGCGATGTGTAAGTACACGCATGCCTTGCCATCGCTCGATGCCTTGCCTGACCAACTCCAGCACGTCCTTGGGACAGAGCTGAAGGAGGTCAAACGTGTGACCTAGGTCGCTGTAGATCCCCGTGGCGGAATACATGCCCCATCCTATTCTCCCCAAAGACATCCATACAACAGCAATGGGCCCCCTTGCCGAGGTCCAAGAGGCCTTAATCTTGAGCCCCTCATCCACCTTCATCCAGGCCCTCTGCAGTCTCCCAAGGCATACTCTGTTGTCCCAGACGAAGCTGCAGTAGGCCTTCAGGGGGTCCATGGTGGCATTGTATATTGGGTCGTACTTGGCGTCAGCCTGCGTAGCCAGATATACAATGAGAGAAGAAACTGCCGTCGAACGGCCACATAACATGCCAGCAACAGAGCGTAAACGGGCAAGCTCTTGGTCGCTGACTCCTGATACAGTCGCGCCGTGCGCAGCAGCTGGAAGGAGCCCTGTTCTCCAGATCGCGGCGGCTCTGTTGCCAGCCGCCTTCTGGAGCATAATAAGCCTTGGGAGCCTGTCCTGCAAGCCCTTCATCCTAGCCTTAGCTTGTTTCCTCACAGGAACTGGCCCACTAAGTTCATGCCCAAGATTTCGGACCCACTTCTTGCTTTTGGGGTTGATCCTTGAGGCCAACTTGTGGAACCCCTGGTGCCCCTTCCTAGTGTTGGAGACCCAGCCCGATTTCTTGACCTGCAGCAGGGGCCCCAACTTGGCCGAATCCTTGACGAAGCTCTGGAACCCCAAGAACAACTCAGCCGAAGAAGTCCCCGACGGCCCAAC